ATACCTAATCTTTGATTCAAGCCGGATTCTTTGACACCAACCGCATTTTTGGGTAAGGTCAGGTCACTGACCTATGACGTCATAAGTGAACCTCTGCACGGTCTTCAGATGTCGCAACTTCGTAACGCCCTCACTGCCAGAGGAGATGTCACAGGGAAATGAAACTTACATGATCTAGTATGCATTATGAGTCCCACAACTTGTATGTCTCGGATTTTTCCTAAAGGTCATATGAGGTCAGGTCATTTTCGTGACCTCACCACTATAAGTCAATGGGGAAAAATGAAAACTGCTATTCTGGCGCCGGGAACGATCTCCAACTATCTCAAGCACACAGAATCGTGATTTGATGCAATCCTTGCAAGGTTAGATGCGTCACTTTTGCAATGTTGACCTTGCGTGACGTCTTTATGACGTCATCAAGGTCATATTAGTTTTTCGTCAATAACTCCCGATCAAATTGAGCTAGCGAGTCGGGAAAGCCACCAATGGACTCAGGAAGACCTGCCAAATCGAATAATATGCGACATGACCTCTTTCGACCAACTTCGTGACCTGGGGGCGCTGACCTGACCGAAGTTATTCACCAAAAACTGAACCGTAACTTGAGGCACTTGACCTGTCCTCAGAGGTCACCGGTTGACCTAGGACCTTAACCCTCGCCGGCACAGGCGGGGGTTGATGCAACCCCCCCCCCTAAGGTTTTTAGCGAATAACTCGCGTAAAAAGCGGCCGATCGCGACGAAACTTTCAGTACCCTCGCATTGATCAATTTTACACCTACCCTGAAAAGTTCATGACCCTGACCCAAATGACCTTTGACCTGTGACCTCTTTTCCGAGACCATGTTTGGCCGGAATCGCGATTCGGCGTATGTCGGCTCGCATTAGCCGCGCGTTTGCAAGCTTTTCGTGGTTTCAAACGTTCAAACATGTGATTTGATGTTGCTCCCATACATTAGGGTGGGTGTCAAGGTCACCTGAAGATCAGGTCAGGTCATTGACGTTTGGTGACCTCGGGTGACCTCGGTTCACTGTTTCGGGTTTTACATGTTTCTAGGCTAGTTGTTGGAGCTGAATTCGAATTTAGCAACCATTTGAACATTTACGAAGTAGTTTTGGTGCCTTCGTAACATGTTACGAAGCTGTCAGAGGCGGTCGTACCCGCCCCCCCCCTCGGCCGGCGCGTATGTAGAAAACCATTAGGTCCGGCGAGGGTTAATTTGTTATATAGTCATGTGGGCCACCAGATTCCCATCATGGTTTTGGTGGCTACATTATTTGCTCATCGGAATTTCCGGTGCCGTCATGACCTGACCTGACAGGTGTTGCCATCTTATCACGTGACCGAACCGAGTGGAGGTCAGCACAGGTCAACTGATTAATTAACTAACTAATTAATTAATTAATTAAATTACTAATGATTGATTAGCCCGGCAGGCGGTGGGCCTCCCAGCCACCTTCCGCGCGGTGGGGGAGGGGGCATTTTTTGCCCCCCCTCGTATCTCCGAAACTACTGGACGGATCCGGAAAATTCAAACGGCGTTCGATAGCCCTGTCAATTTTGTCGAAGGAAACCAAATTTCATTGACCTCGGGGTCACCGATGACGTCACAGGTCAGGTCAAAGATAAAATGTTTCACCGTTCACGGGGCTTCTAGGGAAAGCGCTATAACACCGAGTAAAACGCATTTTGTCGAAATTCAGCGATAAGGAGCCAGTTGTGTAGAACATATGTTGCTATTAGAGGTCACTGGTCATACCAGGTCAGGTCACAGGTCAGGTCACCAAAGGTCACCAAGGGTCACCACACGTGAACCCAACTTTTCTAAGGTTATGCGATGCATGTTTTATGGCCAGTTTTTCATTTCCAGCTCAATGGTATTGGTTATAAGACCATCAGGTGCGGTTTAGGTCACTTTCTGGTGGAGGTCAGGTCAAGGTCAGGCCAAAAAAGGTCAAATTTCAAAGTTGATATTTTTGCATAAAATGGGTATCGATTCGATGCAGCTCGTCACGGGGAGTCTAATGGTGGTCTTTGTTTTGCGCTACGAGGTCTAAAATTGCTAAAATTGAGTTTGAAAATTTGACGTCATCAATTTTGAACAGTTTTTTTCGCTAAACTTGGCCAAAAAAAAGAGGTATTGAACTCAAATTTGGTATGTAGATAGAAGGCGGTAGGAACTATAACATATGGTCCGGGTTTTTCGAAATTCCAAATTTTTTTTTGGATTTTTCGGCAATTATTTTCAAAAAATCTATTTCTTGGTTTTTGGGGGTCAAAATCCAAAAAATTCGAAAAACCGAAATAGCAGTTTTGTAGCCCTCTTGATTCCACACCTTTTATGTCCGGAACATTTTTCTGTATCTCTAAACCTGTAGGCCTGACAGCTCTTCCCGCGAAACCTTTTTTGGGTCGAAAATGGCAAAAATGACGTCACTCTGACGTCATTAGCGGCCAACCTATCATAGCCTTTGGAAAAATTTTTGGTCACCATGTGCGCTAGCTACTCCCGGAAGGGTACTGAAAGTTTGGTGACGATCGGCGCAGCGGTTCTCGAGATATATCGAAAAAACTAAAGGGGGGGGGGCAAAAAAATGCCCCCCCACCGCCTGGAAGGTTAATAAAATTTATCAAAAATTGCTTAGAAAGTACACCAACTACCATTTGTATGATTCTATCATCCCTTTCATGGGAAAAGCGTGCACGAAACATGAAAAAGTACCGATGTCGCGCTAATTTTCGCTCCGGTCCCATTGTGCAGTGGGGGGGGGGGCATATGTTACTACCCTGTCGCGTTTTTTTTGCGTGTGAATAAAAAACTGCGGCGGGTAGCGCCGCGCCGCTTGGAGTAGCCTTATGTACATTAATTTTGGACGTGTGAAATTTTTGACCCCAGGTCATGTCAGGTCAGGTCACCAGGTCAAGTTAACTGACCAAGCCTAAAAAATAAATTTGCAATCATGTCCACTGTCCAGCCTGCAGTGTTTGTCAGAGAGGTTTCAAACTTGGTGGATTGCATGATGCATAGATAACATGAATCATGTTATCTATGCATGATGTTAAGGCGCCTATAATATGTATATCTCGGATTTTTCATATCCGTGACCTAAGGTCAGGCCACGTGACCGCGTGACCTGCGTGACCTTTCCATTATAAGTCAATGGAGAAAAATGAAAATGCCTCAAGATCCGTGTGTACGCATAGGAACAGTCCAAATATTTCAGAATCACAATGATTTTGACCACCCGTGACGACCAAGGTGTCTTTTTTGCTGATAGACTCTAGGAAGGTCATCCGAGGTCATTTGAGGCTACAAACAGATTTTTGCCAATAACTCTCGATTTAGAACGCTGGGGATGGCCTCATTGTGTTTGTCGTGACGTGACGCATCGACTGATATGCAACATGACGTATTCCGGTCAGGTCATGACCTTGACCTGGGGTCATATTTTCAAGTTGACCTTTCAAGGTCAAATTATAGTTCATTTGACGCGTTTCGGCGAGGGGAACACGATTCTGGCAATAGAAATGTCGTGGCTTATTTTTAGTTAAAAGATATTGTTGAAAATAACTTTTAATGACCTGATGTTCCTTTACGGTGTATTTCACGGCCACATTGACTGTCCTCAGCTGCTACATCAGTTTCAGCTGTCGACACCTGTCAGACGCAACAGGTCCCCAGCTCTTTGGCATATGCCGTTTGCTCGAGTGGCAACGATCAAAAACAATACCTTCTGCCGTATCCCATCGAGGTGCAATGAGCTTTTAAGAGACAACACATCCCTAGACTTCTTTTATTCTCCGATATCAGTGTACAAGGCCTCTGTAAGGCTCCATGCTGCACAAGCTGGCTTTTATTGAGCTTTTGTCCGTCCGAAGGGTTGCGTGTATTTATATAGATTTATCTTATTTTTATCCATGACTTCACCTGTAACCGGGTTTTATCTGTACCTGTTGGTGATGAGCAAATAAACATAAAACACTTTTCGTAAAAACAGCTATTTTTTTAGTTTTTGCCCTCTGGAGGCTAAACCGTTGACCTGAGGTCATTTTTGATGAAGACCTTACCCAAAGAAGGTTCCAAAACTATCGATAGCTTTCCATGCGTTTTTCTAGCTATCATAGTTCCTGAGATAATGACATGTCTTCTGAAAAATATATTGACAATTCGCAAATTTGGATCTTTGATGACCTCTGGTGACCCCAATATTGCTCTAAAATGAAAAATGACATTATAGGATTAAATTGGACTTACTCCACAAGAGAATCGTTTTCGGTCGGAGCTTTCGACATGTATTACATGTCCTCTTCAGCGAAGGTCGGTAATCGGGGCATCCAGCTGGTCTCCAAGCCGTCGCTGACCATCGGATCATTGCTCTGCAGTAAAGCCAAGCACCACTTGCCGAAGCTGCAGGAGAGCAACGTGGTCTACAAGATCGAGTGCTCCTGCCAAGTTGACGGTGATCCTGTGGTCTACATCGGCGAGACAGACCGTGAGCTAGGAACCAGAGTCAGAGAACACCGGGAGAGCTGGACTGGAGCTGTTCGCTCGAGAGCCAACGCATCGGCCTTCAGTGCTCACAGGGATTGTTCACCTGCCTTCGATGAGGTCAAGGTACTAAATCGAGCCAACCACTACCAGATGCGACTGCTGCTCGAGTCGGCGTACATCCGGACTGTGGGACGGCGGGAGGCCGTCTTGGTGTCGCCTAATGATGCGAATGTGAACAGAAACTCAGGTGCGCTGCTGCAAGACCGCTGGCTGCCAATAATTCGTCGTGTTTGCCAGTAGTTTTATAGTGTTTTAAACATTTATATCGTGTGATAGTGTTTTTTTATATTGATCTCTTTACACTTTTGTACCCCACCTGCTTTAGCATCTTTGTAGTTTTTAACTTTTGTGGTATTTATAGGTATGTATAACGTTTTATATTTCTGTACCGAGATAGTATGTATTGATTTCTATATTTTTTAGGATTTTATTAGTGTGGTATGCGTTCTTGTTTTTTGGTAGACTTTCTCATTGAGTGTACTCTTATTGTCGTCACGTGTTTCAGTCTTGCTTATTTTATAATTCAAGCGGCCTAAATAACTCTGCGCAGCTCACCGACATCTTGTGCGATTCGATTCGACCCGAACGTTTTATTTTCGCCCCGATTACCGACCTTCGCTGAAGAGGACATGTAATACATGTCGAAAGCTCCGACCGAAAACGATTCTCTTGTGGAGTAAGTCCAATTTAATCCTATAATATCTATTTGCTCTCCACACTAACATGTCTCTAAGTCTATGAAAAATGACTGTAATATTTTCAAACGTACGCATTGAGAGCTATCGACTGCTTTTTACTGCGTCTTTCTAGCACTCTTAGTTTTTGAGTTAGAGGTGGGTGGTAACATATGCCCCCCCCCCCACTATGGCGAAGTTGACTGAGACCGCCACTGCACTGGGGCGCGGGTTAAAATTATTCATTGTTGGTAAGTTCTAGCTTTTGATAGTGTAGTTCCCTTAGAAATTCCTTTCCGCTGTTAACTTGGTAGCGATTTGGCAGCTATTCAATAGCCTACCTTTCGAAGTGTATCATACTTGCTCTGGTAGCCTGACCTGACATGACCCGGCAATTTTTCATTCACGGAATAGTTATGCGCAACACATTTTTAGGAACACTCACTGAGTTTGCGTTGAAAAACTTGCTTTGTTTGGTTATTGTACAAGAAGCATATGAGGGCCCCTTTCCGCGAATAGCGGTAAAATACTTATTTCGGTCAGAGCTCAGGCCAATCTCTAAAGGCTGAAACAGACTCTTTCCGCGTTCAGGAAATCGCATGCGAGAGCCTATTCAAATGCATTGCAATTCTTCTCGCATCAATCGCTTGCGGAAGGTGCGTGCGATTGATGCGAGCGTGCTTCCATGTATTTGAATAAGCTCTCGCATGCGATTTCCTGACTGCGGAAAGAGTCTGTTTCAGGCTTTAGGGGTCAGTCGGGACCCGACGGACCCCTTAGATCGGGTCACTTATTTTTTAAAGGATCCTTACGGCATCCAAGGGCAATTCTGGCTTTTGATGCTACGACATGTTGAAATCTGAATATATGTTGCAGGCCGTATGAAAATTTTGTCCGTTTGCAAACGGCCTGGCCCAGTCAGGCCATATGAAACAGCCTGAACACACCGGCCGTTGGCAAACCATGACCTGAAATATCAGACCGTTTGAAAACAGCCTAGTTAGCCCTCGCCGGACCTATTGGTTTTCTACATACCTATGCGCCGGCCGAAGGGGGGGGGGGCGAGTACGAACCCCGCCCCTCGCCGTTTCGTCCCTGGTGGAGCTAGCGCGTCGCGGAAAAAACGATCGTGTGCGCCGTTACGAAACGCAGAGATTGGTACCCGATTTTAAGGTCCTAGGTCAACCGGTGACCTCTGAGGTCAGGTCAAGTGCCCCAAGATGTGGTTCAGTTTTTGGTGAATAACTTCGCAAAAAAACGGACGCAGAGCCGCGAGTTTGGCAGTATCGTATTCGCCTTCCTCGGGCGCGTCGAATGATATATTGTTTGTTTGGGTCAGGTCAACTTAGGGTGTCAACTTAGGGTGTCAGGTCACGGTCAGGTCAGCGCCCCCAGGTCACGAAGTTGGTGGAAATAGGTCATGTCGCATATCATTCGATTTGACAGGTCTTCCTGAGTCCATTGGTGGCTTTCATGACTTGCTAGCTCAGCTTGATCGAGAGTTATTGACGAAAAACTAATATGACCTTGATGACGTCATAAATGACGTCACGTGAGGTCAGCATTGCAAAAGTGACGCATCTCACCTTGCAAGGAGTGCTTCAAATTACGATTCTGTGTGCTTGAGATAGTTGGAGATCGTTCCCGGCGCCAGAATAGCAGTTTTTATTTTTCCCCATTGACTTATAATGGTAAGGTCACGAAAATGACCTGACCTCATATAACCTTTAGGAAAAATCTGAGATAAACAAGTTGTGAGACTCGTAATGAATACTAGATCACTAGATCCTGCAAGTTTCATTTCTCTTTGAAAACTCCTCTGGCAGTGAGGGCGTTGCGAAGTTGCGACATCTGAAGACCGGTCAGAGGTTCACTTATGACGTCCTAGGTCAGTGACCTGACCTGACCTGAAAATGCGGTTGGTATCAAAAGATCCGTATTGAATAAAAAATCAGGTATGCCAAGTTTCAGCTCTCTATCGACAGCGTGTTTGGAGCTATCGCGAAAAAAACCTATGGGGGACGGCACCAGCCCCCCCCCTCGGCCGGCGAGGGTTAGTTTTCAAAGGGCCTAGCGAAGTAAAATAAACCCGTGCCCTGCCGGATCCAGGGGGCCACTGGGTCATGCCCCCAAGCCTGAAAGGGTGGCCAACATACCTATATTTTGGCCCCCCCCCCAAAAAAAACACCTAAGAAAAATTAATGTGAGAAGGTAGCTTAGTAGGTAGAGAGAAACTGCCGTATCATTAAAAGTCTGTGAGCTTGATAAATGTGTTGGTCTTGTCTTCACCCAAGAAGGTCTTACCTATTGTATAATTTACCTTTCGATCGACGTTTGAACCTAACCTAACCGGACTCGGACTCGGAGTGTAATCGCCACGCCGATTGTGGAGTGCTCTTGATCGTCAATACATACATACATACATACATACAAAAGGCCTGTACACATTCAGCTGTTGTGCTGTTGTCAGCCGAGAAACGTTCACCTTATTGGCTGAAAAATTAATGACGTCATGTTGCACTTGCAACATGACGTCATCTCTCTGCTGACGGCAGCATAGGCTGACGAGCTGTGCTGCCAGGAGAAAGCAAGTGCAGAGATGCCAAGCCGTCAGCAGAAGCCATAAATGACGCATTTAGACACTGGTAGTGGCGCATGTAAACAAATCACGTGCCACATTTTTACTAAGTACTGCAGATAAATGAAAATTCGACACTGTATAGACGCTTTTCACGTTATTTTGTTTTCATAATTATTTATCAATGTAAGAAGACTAAATATTTCCATTGCATATTATATGCAAATATTTTGATAATATACCTAACAATTAAAATATTGTATAATAAAGGACATGAATATGAGACGATATATTTGTTTACAAAGCCACATTTGTAGACAGTCAGCCACTGCTGACATTTCTCATCAGCCGAATGTGTACAATTCCGTCAGCCAGAAACGGTGGGTGGAGCCTATTTCGGCTGACAACAGCACACCAGCTGAATGTGTACAGGCCTATACATACATTTGAAGTTATCGTTTAAGTTATCATGAAGCTGATCGCGATGAAAGTTTAGTAGGTACCCTCATGTTGACGAAGTCTGAAAATTTCATGACCCTGACCCAAGTGAACTTTGACCTGTGGCCTATTTCTCGAGACTACGTTTGGCCATGTTTGAGACCATGTTTGGCCGGAATCGCGATTCGGCGTATGTCGGCTCACATTATCCGCGCGTTTGCAGTTTTTTTTTTGGTGGTTTTAAACGCTCAAACATGTGAAATGATGCTGGTCCCACTCCTATCCATTGTGGTAGGTGTCAATGTCACCTTAGGGTCAAGTCAGGTCATGGACCTTTTGATGACCTTGGTGCTTTTTTCGAGTTTAACACGTTTCTAGGATGGTTTCGTCTAGCTGATTTTAAATTTAGTACCTATTTAACAACCATTTGAACATTTACGAAGAAGCTTTGATGCCTTCGTATCATTGTGTGTTATCATGTTACGTAGCTGCCTTCGTATCATGTTACGTAGCTGCCGGTGGTAGTGGACACCTGCTATACGGACGCCCATAAGTACCCCTACTGGTTGACCTGACCTGACTTGACCCGACCTGGCCTAAATGCATGAAGACATCATCTATGATCCAAACTAACCTGAAATTCGTGATCAGCACCCCAAAAAACCTATAGCCTTACTTTAGGAGGTTCATCTGACAGGTCCTGATTTTACCGTCTTTTGGGTCTGTGGCCTGACCTGGGCGGCGTTTCACGGCACGCTGCCAGCCACTGCCAGCGCTGTTAGCGCTTTTGGTTTGCATGGAGACATCAACAAGCCTAACTTACAATTACACTACCGAAGGTTGACCTTAGCTCGCGGAATGCGCTGGCAGCGGCTGGCAGCGCGACCGTGAAACACCGCCCTAGAAGGTTAACCAATGACCAAGGACCTTAAACTCGGGTATCATCGCCTTCCTCTCGTCACTTACGGGCAACGCTCTTGTTTTTTTTTCCGCGAGCTCTAGCTAGATCAGGGGGTCCAAGTTCCAACCGACACCTCCCAGCCCGCGAAGGCTGCGCCAAGCACCGACCTGTAGCGGGATAACTGGTCGACAAAATCAATTTGAAGTGTTTTCAAAGCAATATATGTAAAGGCACGGGTCGGGTACATAGGCGGCGGAACGGGGAGGGCACCGGGGCACCGTGCTATCCCTTTGATTTTGGCATCTGAACATTAGCCCTATGGGCGTTGCATGGAAAGAATGGGACCAAAAGTCGGCAGCCTTCGCAGCCTTATTATCGTTTTAGGGATGTGACGAAAAATAAGTGGCCTAAATCCGATGAGAAAACAGGATTTAGGGGTACCCTATAGGTTTGGTTCCTTGCATGAGTTGCCCCCCCCCCCCAAAAAAATGCAAGACTGGATCCGCCAGTGTGCAGGAATATTGTTTCACATTTCTTATTGCAACTAAGTTGCTTATAACTGAAACATACCTATCAGGCATGTTCATCTTTCAATGAAATGCCACCATGCCGTGACACGTACGGTGTCTCGTGATGGAGCTTATCGTGTCGCCCAAACACGAGAAATTCCTCGACCCCTCGCCACTGGCCTCCCCACGCGGTCTCCCCAGCTGACGGTGACCGGCGGTGAGTGACAGCGGGTGATGCATGGCTTAGCGCGGTCAGCCGGCGACCCTCTGCGACGGCTGTCCGCGGCGGCGGCGGCGGCGTCTCTTTGTTCCCTTCGGCCCGGTACAGGGGAGCCGACTGGCCGGCCGGGACCCAGGCACACGGTATGCCAGCGAGAAGTTGGAACCGACCCGAGCATCTCAACACCCATGCCGTCTGGCTCGGAGCTATCGTACTGCTTCACAGCGAGTCAGTGACCTTGAGTGACCTATAGTCTGACAAAGCTAAGAAAGAGCGAATTTAAAGTGCAACGGTTATTGATGCACGTGTCTGTATAGATACAGTGGAATCCGCTTAATAAATCCACCTTGGTGACAAGGTGTTTTGGATTTATTAAGCGGTGGCCTTATTAACCGGAGTCAGCTATTTTTTATTATCAAAAAGCATGTATCGCAGCTGCACGTTCCGTTCCGCTGCAATACAAGCGTACAGGCTCACATTCCTCATTGTCTTACTTATACCAATAAAAGTGGCCACGGACTCCACCACATCAGTGGGGTGCAGTCTAATGTATAAAGGCGACCGTTTTAGGGTTGGACATGGACATCCTCCAAAGCTGCGACCATAGTGGAGCCCCTGAAAGTGACCAGCGCACACTGCAAAGCCGTCACAGCGATTAACCCGCGCCCTGCTGGGGGGGGGGTGTTTGAACACCCCCCCCTTGTGGTTTTTCGCGAATATCACAAAAACGGCGGCGCGGAGCGCCGCCGTTTCTGGTACACCTTATCATACATCAATTCTACACATGTTGTGAAAATTTCAGACCAAGGTCGTTCAAGGTCAGGTCACCAGGTCACTTGAAGTGACCTCACCTCATAAAAAGTTTCATTGTCTGCCATAGCTACACCGAGTGACCGATCGCTTTGAAACTTTAAGCGATTGCTAAGAGCAATAGCATGTACAAAATGTATATCTCAGAATTTTGATATCGATGACCTAAGGTCAGGTCAATTTTGCGACCTCCCCATTATAAGTCAATGGGAGAAAATTGAAATGCGCTTCTTTTGGACAAAAGACATTATAAACACACCCAAACACTGGATTACAAGTGGTTTAGACTTACTGAACATGAAAATGGTGTCTGTGACCCCTGTTTATGCCCTGAGGTCATCTTAGGTCACGAATGGTATCTAACAGTTTTTCGCAAATAACTTTTGATAGAGGCATGCTAGAGCGATGAAAACGCCTTAGATGTGTTCAGCTTGACGATACGGATCGACTGATATGCAACATGACCCTTTCCGGTCAGGTCATGACCTTGACCTGAGGTCAAATTTTCAAGTTGACCTTTCAAGGTCAAGTTATAGTTCATTCGATGCGTCTTGACGAGAGGAACACGATGCCGGTAAAAGTAAGCTCGTACAAGGCTTGGGTCAAAAGTTATTGCAGAAAAACTGTTTTCGAAAAAATCGGCTATTTTTGCAGTTTTTTGCCCCCTGCAGGCAAAACCGTTGACGTTAGGTCAAATCTGAGAGAATTACTCAGAAAGGGCGTTAATAGGGCTATCGAATGCGCTTTTCCGCGGCGCTGTAGCTCTATTGGTTCCCGAGTTATGCGTTGGCTTCTTGGAAATTGTCGACATTCGACCTGGAAATCGGCGAAATTTTGCCTTCAATGACCTCTGGTGACCTGACCTTTGACCTGACCAAAAAATTGACTGAAGTGATTTCGTCATTATTTTTGACGCTTTTTCGAACGCCGCCTTCCGCGTATCGCTACGTGGCCCAGGAGCCGAGTTAGAAGGGGGGGGGGTGTTCAGACACCCCCCCCCCCCATCGACATGTCCATCCGCGGTCAATCCCCGTCATGCCTGCTATGCCAACGAAACTGGCTCGAACAGTTGAGGGTGCCTGCTTTGCCGGGAACATTTCTCTGAGGTGCTTGGTGATGGCGCTCTTGATATCCCTGAACTCCCTTCTGTCGTGGGAAGTACAACTGCTGCAGACCGCTGCTCCAGTGCGGTTCTTTTTGAGCGGGTTGGATGCCACATTTTGAATGGGGAGATTTCGCTGCGGACTTCGGAACTCCCTAGTGGCTTTATTAAGCGGAGTACGTGGATTTATTAAGCGGATTTATTTACTACGGGTATCTATGGCGAAAATCCGTAAGCAGCTCAAGCGGCCATAATATGCGGCTGGATTTATTATCCGTGGATTTATTAAGCGGATTCCACAGTACCTAACTTCCAATACGTCCGAGAAAAATTCTCTCAAATTTAAGCACACGTAGGCATATACCCTGCACGTAGGCTATCTTCAATGTCCAGTGCACGTGTTGCGTGTTTCGAGGCGCTTTAGCTCCGTTCTCTCTTAGGTTTGTCAGGCTATATGTCTGAAATTTTCACAACATATGCAGAAAAGATGCATGATAACGTGTGCCAGAAACGGCAGCGGCGCGCTCAGCTAAAAACCAAACCGCAGCGGGGGGGGGGGGGGGGAGGTGTTCCATCGCCACTCTCTAGGAAGGCGAGGGTTAATAACAGTTTGCACAAGCACAAGACCAATCATGCTTAAAACACTGCTGTGCATAAAACGTTCTTTTGACACCAGCTTTATTGTTTTAATGGAAGCCTTCAAGAGCACTTCGGCTCCCTTCTTCAGCCAAGTCACGTAAAAACACTAAAAAAACAGTAATACACAACATCGAGATGTTGTTTGATTCGAGGTCAAAATCGTATAGGCCCTTGTATATAGGCATCAGTGCGCCACATTACAATTGTCACACAACTTTATGAAGCTTTCAAAAATATACACGTCCAGATAATGGAGCAGTAACCTCTCTACAAAGAAACATCTATGTAAAACACAAAGCACACATTGCTGGACGCTGACACTGAAAACACACGGTGCACACCATTCAATATTCATTGGCACCCCTGATCGACGTGTTCAAAAGGTGTTGATTTTTTCGTTTTCGCTATGTATATGCCCTCTTTTATTTTCGCTTTCTCAAGTTGTAATCAGGGATGCGGAGCCGTGGAAATTTCAGACGGCTCCGGCTCCGGCTCCGGAGAAAAAATTCGGCTCCGGCTCCGGCTCCGGCTCCGGGTGAAATGTCATGGCGGCTCCGGCTCCGGCTCCGGCTCCGAGTAAAATGATCCGGCTCCGGCGGCTCCGGCTCCGGCTTCTACCCAGTACATCCCCTATGCGATCAATTAAATACGGGTGGAAGAAAAAAGGCGATGGGATTGGTACACGTTGCTTCTGTATTTGTATAACAAGCAACCACATTGTTTTGAATACCACATTGTTTTACGCCTTGTACTGTCAAACCGAACTAGGTATATAATTGTTCCTGTTCTACTGTTATCTATGTTTCCTCTTAAGAAAAGGAGCCGGATCGCCCCCTTTTTTGACGGCTCCGGCTCCGGCTCCGGCTCCGGGCTATATTGTTTCACGGCTCCGGCTCCGGCTCCGGCTCCGGGCAAAATATGCCGGCTCCGGCGGCTCTGGCTCCGGCTCCGGCTCCGGCTCCGCATCCCTGGTTGTAATGGCATAGTATAATGGTGAAGAAGTTTTGAGTTCCCATTACGTCCTTGACTGAAGTACACGGACTGCTGTATTAACCCGGCAGTTGCTGGGGTATTTCGCCACCCACCGTTTGCTGGGGGGGGGGGCGTTAAACGCCCCCAGCCGATAACCGAGAACCAATAGGCGCAGCGAAACGCACGAGGGGGCAAACGAAAGAACGCGACGAGACGCTTCAGATGAGTACTTTAAAGTTGAATTTTGAGGTCACAGGTCGGGTCAAGGTCAGGTCAAACACCTGAAATCGGGCTTTCAGTTGAGCATGGACTTCAGGGCTTCGCAATGGGCGCCTCTCGTCATAAACTCTGTCAAAACGGTGCAAATCCATCATATAAGGTCTACAAGAGTGTCAGCTCCATGTAGGGGTCAGTCAAGCATAGGTCAGGGTCAAGGTCAGGTCAACCGGGTAGGCACATATCCCCGAAAATCAAAACTGATATTCGCAGCCTGTGACACATGTTTTATGGGTAATTTGGGGCGTAGAACACGATGGTGATATTCATTTTGTCATTTGTGTACGTGTTTGGCTCAAAAAGCTCAATTTAAGAAATACATGTATCATGGTCGTGAAGAAGTCACGAGAAATTGCTAAGGTTCAGTTCAAGATTTTGGAAAATTCGGAACGATAATCAATAATCGAAGATAGCCATTTGATTGTTCAAGGTATTGGCAGTCTAATGGCGTTTACGGCATGTCTGTATGTCTATTTTGTGATTTTATATGATTTTTTGAACATATGCCGTTTTTGGTCGAAAACTCAGAAATCATGACGTCACTAAAACCTCGATATCTCAAAAATTTTCTGACCGATTTTTTTGAAACTTTGTCACAATAAACTTCAATCAGTTCCCTACAGGTACCCAAAATTTGGCGCGCCTGCGGCGCGCCGTTTTTATGCTATGGCCCAGCGAAAAAAGTGGGGGCGTTTACCGCCCCCCCCCCCACCAGCAACTCGTGGGTTAAATCATAAATGCTCAGAACTACAGCCCTAGATGGGGCGTTCCACGACAAATCGACAAATAAAAAATTAAATTTGCACCCTCATATTTTATTCTTCGTTGAAAACTGGTGTAAGGGTTTGTGATGGGCGGGGAAGCCAGCTGTGGCAAGGATTTTTTTCTTCGAACAACGGTTTCCGAGATATAGCCTCGGGCAATTCCTGGAGTTCGCGCTGCAGCCCTATGTTTGGCGGCCTATAACTCAGAAACTATTGGTTTTTTACGATAAAAACTTTATATGGTTCAACTCACAATCAACCATCAAACATTTTGGCTATCTCGGATTTTCAATTTTTGAAAATTTTGATCACGTGACCTTTTGTCCTATTTTTCGAAGAGTGACCTTGATATTTTCCCCACCGAAAGTTGCAATTTTGTCTGATGACGATTAAAGCCTTATCAATTGTCATTCATATGCTATAATAAAAAAAGTGGTTATCGCCCTGCGTTGACCTCAGGTCAGGTCATTTTTAAGACCTGTCCATTATTACGAGCGGGAGCGACAGCGAGATCTCGAGAATAAAGCAAGATAGCGACAAGCGGTAAACGGTAAAGGGTACACACGGATAAGGTCTATAATTTTTACTGAGGTCATTTTCAGGTCAGGTCAAAGATGACGTCACAGGAGCTAAAAGGAAGTCAAAATAGCGGCACCATACATATATATGAAGTTTTTCTCGAATAACTTTCAAGGTATCCCAGCTAGGAACAAACTAATAGCACCATCGTGATCCTCTCGTCGATCCGCATCGAAACATATGTATGTTGACCTCGAAAGGTCGAAAGGTCAAAAGTTGACCGTAGATCACGTGACCTAAGGTCAACTTTTGACCTTTCGACCTTTCGAGGTCAACATACATATGTTTCGATGCGGATCGACGAGAGGATCACGATGGTGCTATTAGTTTGTTCCTAGCTGGGATACCTTGAAAGTTATTCGAGAAAAACTTCATATATATGTATAGTGCCGCTATTTTGACTTCCTTTTAGCTCCTGTGACGTCATCTTTGACCTGACCTGAAAATGACCTCAGTAAAAATTATAGACCTTATCCGTGTGTACCCTTTACCGTTTACCGCTTGTCGCTATCTTGCTTTATTCTCGAGATCTCGCTGTCGCTCCCGCTCGTAAAAATGGACAGGTAATAAAAACGACCTGACCTGAGGTCAACGCAGGGCGATAACCACTTTTTTTATTATCGCATATGAATGACAATTGATAAGGCTTTAATCGTCATCAGACAAAATTGCAACTTTCAGTGGGGAAAATATCAAGGTCACTCTTCGAAAAATAGGACAAAAGGTCACGTGATCAAAATTTTCAAAAATTGAAAATCCGAGATAGCCAAAATGTTTGTTGGTTGATTGTGAGTTGAACCATATGAAGTTTTTATCGTAAAAAACCAATAGTTTCTGAGTTATAGGCCGCCAAACATAGGGCTGCAGCACGAACTCCAAGAATTGCCCGAGGCTATATCTCGGAAACCGTTGTTCGAAGAAAAAAATCCTTGCCACAGCTGGCTTCCCCGCCCATCACAACCTATTAGACCAATTTTAAGCAAAAAATAAAATATGAGGGTGCAGGGCACTTGTCGATTTGTCGTGGAACGCCCCAGATGAAACACATACAATATCTAAGGGAAGGCATTATTTTTATGCCTATCTATGTACATAGTTAGGTCCTTTACGCATGACAACTTATATCTGTTCTTTTTATTTCTTAAATCGTTACCATTGCAGTAGATATATAGAACGGCACTGTTCATGAAAAAGTTGACTTTATATTCCTGTTATACAGGCACAGGATACTGTTATAACTATGTAGGTACTGTTCAAATGTAGAATATAACCTTTTTACCACAAAATCTGAGCTACGATCAATGTCAGATAAAAGGCAAAACACATTATTATGTAAAGTTATATCATTTTACTATAATCAGTACCTTGCTGCCAATATCTCACATTGAGGTTGCGTAAGCGGGGAGCGCTGAAAATGACGTTTAAACCCTACTGTTTTACTCGGCCATAGACGAGTGGCTGTAGTGCACTGCCACGTCCGTCCGTGACTGAGCGAACGTGTTTGTCCTCTTTTCTCGAGTTTATTGTGAGTTTGTGACGTGGCTGCAATGACTGTATGTATATTGTATATGCATAAGGTACCTGATAATATTTTATGATACCTGATAATAATTCAACGACATCTCGATGTTTGTATTACTGCTTTTTAGTATTTCTACGTAACTTGGCTGAAGAAGGGAGCCGAAGTGCTCTTGAAAACTTCCATTAAAACAATAAAGCTGGTGTCAAAAGAACGTTTTATGCATATAGCATAAACCATGTCCCAGCTAAACAGCAACATTTACAACTAAAACCACTACTGATTGATGGCGATGGCGTTGACACAGCGATGCTGCAGCGAGCTTGAACCGCTGGAAGACGCCAGTGGATAGGAGGGAGACGATCAACACGAGGGCGCCCATAGGTAGGAGGGTCCCGATCAACATTCAGTAGGAGGGAACCAATGGGAAGGAGGGCGCCAATGGGTAGCAAGTCAGTGCTCAACACGATGATGCCAGAAGGGAGGAGGGCGGCCGCCCAAATTCAAAGGAGGGCGCGATAGGTGGGAAGGGCGCCAGTGGGCAGCAGGGCGGTGACTTTGG